CCTCTTTCTCTGTGTTGGCAAGTAGAATACAGTGGGAGGGATGGTGACAGGAGTGCTCACAGTAAAATCTGAGTGTTCACTGTAGAAAAGAAATTATTACAAGTAGACATGGTCAGAGTGGAAATTAGCAATAAGAGTGAAGAAGGGCTGAGAGCAGATGTGCCACACAAGACAGAGAGCGATGTGGAAGCTTTTGGATGGGTTGGGTCTTAAAAGAGCCATTGGGCTTGATATTGTAGAGAGCTGAAGGAGTTTGATATTGTAGAGAGCTGATGGAGCAGGACTAAGTAATTTGTGACAAATCCTGCAAGAAAGGACAAAAGAGAATTTTATTAAATCACATGATGAACTATAAAAACACTGACAACCAATCAGGATCTATCCAACTTTAACCGTTTGTTGTGGATGTTAAAATAGTTATCATTATAGTTATTGTTATTGGTGTTATGAACGAACTTAAAGGGTTAGTTGACCCAAAAATGACAATTCTGTCAGTAATTACTCACTCTCATGTTGTTCCAAGTTCCAACCCCGTAAGACTTTCGTCAATCAACCATAAGTTTATCAAGCCACAAGAATACTTTTTGTGTGCAAAAACAAGCAAAAATAATGACTTTATTCAACTCTTCATTTTCTTCTGTGTGGGCCTCTGAGTGAGCCACGTAGTGTAACAGCGCAGCGCTTCTGTGTTGTACGTCACACGCATCACACACATGACCTGCGTCGGCCAATAGCAAGCCTACGTTCTGACGTACAACACAGAAGCGCTGCGCTGTTACACTACGTAAACTCACTCAGAGGCCCACAGAGAAGAAAATGAAGAATTAAATGAGTCGTTATTTTTGCGCACAAAAAGTATTCTCGTCGCTGGATAAACTCAAGGTTGAGCCACTGTAGTCACTTGGACTATTTTAAACATTGTCTTTTCTAACTTTCTAGGCCGGCAAGTTTCGATCCCTTAGCTTCTATGGAGGAGTGAGACAGCTCTCAGATTTCATCAAAAATATCTTAATTTGTGTTCTGAAGATGAATGAAAGTCTTACGGGTTGGAACAACATGAGGGTGAGCAATTACTGACAGAATTTTCATTTTTGGGTGAACTAATTGTTTAAGTGATCTGATTAGGACAAGTTCTTTGAAGATCTGATGTGTCACGTAACTTGTTAAACTAGCATTTCCAGACTCTTGCTTCTTAAACAGATGTGGTCAATAAAAATCAACATGTGGAAAGATATCATGTACTGTTGGTACGAGAAGAGACGGCGCCAATATGTAAAGGTTAATAAAAAATACAATGGATTTGATATGAACTTTCTGATATAAACGGTCCAACTACTTACAATCTGCAAGAGAGTTGAGGCAATGGCCAATGACAGCAGCTGGAGTAAAAGTCATAGAATTTTGTACGAGTGCACTTGCATAATATCATATGAATTTGCTGGCTTGGTCAATTGTATGAACTATTACTACATCAACATGACGCTTCATTGTGGGTTCTTACTGATGGGGTAGTGTAGTATGTAAAACAAAGTTTAAGAAACATCAAATGCTGTGCAAAATGTAACTGCAGTAATATTCAATCAAGGGTTAAGACCAACACAGACATACCATTGGAAACATTTGCCTTTGCAGCTTTTTTCCATCTCCATAAACACACAAGATGGCCGAATTCATCCATCTCCACGAAAACAGGTTTACCAAGCCCTTGACAGCACTTCCTTTTCAGCTGAAACAAAGAGAAATATATACATGTTGAGACAGTGTGTTAAAAATGATCCGTGACCAAATTATTTGGGAGGAAGGACTTTAAGGAAAGTTAATAAAACATAAAATAAGGATACATTCATTAAAGCAAATCAGCTATAACTAAATGTGTTCAACATTACCTAATTTGAAGGACCTGTTCAGCCTCCCTGGCAGCTTCTTCAAGATCAGCACTGGGAGCTTTGAGTTCAAGTTCCCTGTTAATAGCAGCTTTCTGACAGAATTGATCAAATTTTGATTTTTAAAAATATTCCATGATGAAGAAGAGAAAGAAAGAGAGCAAAAAAATGTGTAAATTAATTACAGTTAAAAAAAAACAGAGAGAGAGAGAGAGAGAGAGAGAGAGAGAGAGAGAGAGAGAGAGAGAGAGAGAGAGAGAGAGAGAGAGAGAGAGAGAGACAGAAAGTGAGTTTTTGCGAGAGATGGCCTCTTAAAAGAGCTGTTGGATTAAAGGTTGTTGTGGGAGATGGAGATGGAGGAGTATGTGATCTGAAGTAACTGCAAGACAGAAAAAGAATATTGATTTACAATTACATTACAAAAAGGTATTAAAGGCATGGCCAGTGTTGTGATTATTGTGGTAAAACCATGGCAAGTGTTGTGTAACTGTTTCAACTATAAACACCACAGTAAAACTATGGTTACTGTGGTAAAACCATGGCAAGTGTTGTGTTACTGTTTCAACTACAAACACCACAGTAAAACTATGGTTACTGTAGTAAAACCATGGCAAGTGATTTGTTACTGTTCAACTACAAATACCACAGTAAAACGACAGTTACTCTGGTAAAACCATGGTAAGTGCTGTGGTTACTCATGTGCTCTAACTACAAATAGTAGACAGTAAAAACAGTTATTGTGGTAAAAGCATGCAAGTTACTGTGCTTTAACTACAAATACCACAGTAAATTTAACGTTACAGTTACTGTGTTAAATCCAAGGTATGTGTTGTGGTAACTTACTGTGCTTTAACTACAAATACCACAGTAAAACCACAGTCTTAAAAGCATGGCGTTGTCTTATTTAACTAAAAATACCACAGTAAAACTAATTACTATGGTAAAAATTTATGGGCACTGTGCTTTAACTAGCAGGATCGAGCTAATATACTGTGGTAAAATCACATTCATTCAGTGGCAATCGCAACCCATTTGTAAAGAAAAAATATCAAACTACACTTATACTTACACATGAATTGCCGACAGTCACAAGTCTCACAACGATACATTAAATAGATCTTTAAATTAAATAAAACAGATATTGATTACGGCGGTCAGGGACATTCTTTTTCTTGCCGCATTTTGTTTTTATTGGTAACGACAGTCAAAGGTCATTTGATGACGACACACCCGATAAACGAGACTGTCATATATAAGACTGCTAGAGGGCGCTTCATTTTAAAACGCCACTATAGGTCGTAATACGCTGCATGTACAAACGACATATGGGGTCGTTTTTCGGAGGAGGACAGTCTCTGCTTTTTAATTGCTGATAGTTTTCAGCTGTTATCTTGGCTTTCCATGCCTTTTTGCACCTCCCTTTCTCCCTTCATGTGTTCAATACTTTTTCCCTGTGTTATTTCACATTATTACACATAACTTTATTTCTGAACTTCTTTGTTTTGGTTTCTTTGTATTTATGGATTACTTGGGTTGTTACCAACATCTGGTGAAAATTTCATGTCAACAGCTCCTTTGGAAAAATGTTTATTGAGAAAAACGGTGACGTGTTCAATACTTATTTCACCCGCTGTACATCATAAAAAACACATTTATTTTAGGTTGATTGAACTTATCTTAGCTCACAAAATGGGCAGCAGACCAACTGTAATTTGCTAAATAAATAAATAAATACAAATTGCTTGTGATAAGTCAAAAGCTTAACGCAATGCATTTGTAAGTGTTTTCTGGGTGTGCAAAGAATTGCAAAGGTTTTCTGTAAAAGAGAACATTTATTTGAATGAAAGTTTGATTCCATTTGCACATCATCAAATGAACTCCAACCAGCTCACATTTATAGTTGAACACGTTCAAAACACGGGAACAATAATAGCGAATGTACATATTTCAAGAATATTTAGTCATCATTGTGGTATATAAATATTTGGTACAAAATTTCACAAGATATAAAGTAAAGTAGTACATGGACATAATCTACTCTCCCAATTCACTGGTACAAAGCACTGTTCATTAAACCAAGTTTTTACAGCATGAGTAACCATCTTTTTCTTTTCTTTTTTTCTTTTTTACAGCATATCAATGACAAATAATGGAAATTCTGCTTCTAAAACACAAATATTTACCAGCTCGAGCACTGTGTTCAGAGCTGACTCACCCCCTCCTAAGCGAAGAGGTGAAGGCAATCTCAAGGCTCATTTTCTGGTTTGAAGAGAGGGCGCAATCATTGCGGAGTGATTTACTTTAAGATTTGACTCACACCTCAATACAACACTGTTGTGGTTAACATTCAGCCGAGGAATAAATCAGTTGAGCTTTTATTACTTCCCTGGCTATTGGTTTGCAGCATGTCATTAAGGGACCGTGTGGAAGTGTGTCTCTCACAAGAAGAAAGTCATACTAAGCAGTTCTGAGTTCAACCAAACGTTAGTCAGACTGCTAAAAGAAGAAGAAACACATTTAGGTCCAATGACATAGCAGATAATTGTAAGCTTCTGGCATTTTTCTTTTTCATGTGGATGATGAAAACCAGTGCCAACCATGAAACATCTTCTGACCCATTTTCTAGATGGGTTTCACACAACCAGTCTTGATTCCGGGTTACAGGACAACACATTTTTTCTTGAGTGCGTAAGTAGATTAATAAAATTATGCAAATGGTTAATAGTAATAGTTTGAAAATTCCTCCCAGTTATTTGACAACTCCTATGATGTTGAACTGTTTGATTCTAAGCCGCCCGCAACACATTGAGGTCTGATGGGGAATTCACAGGCCCGAGTTTGGCGGTGGTTTCATTACTTTCATAAAGTACTCAGCCTTGGCCTTTTAGTCAATGACCTGCTCAAGTTCACTTCAAGTGTTTCAGAGGCTCACTGTCAACTGATAAACTGTTCTTTGCAGCAGTATTTGAACAGCGTTTCCGCATCAGATGCTTGGCTTTTCAGTGATGGTTACAGATATGAAAAACCGTAGACATTTCCAGAACAATCTGGGATTATGCAGAAAGATGTCACCACAGATGATCTTTCTGATGAGAAGTCCGCAGACAGATGCGGAGCGGAAAGTTCGTCTCCTCTTTTGAGAAAACGCACAGCCAATCACGACAGAGAAACCGGCTGACTGATTGTAGGACAAAGAGAAGGATAAAAGGGCACTTTGTAAAAGAAATTAGGCTGCCTCATTCTGCCACTCCAGTCTTCATGTAGAGGCAGATCAGCAAATGAGTCTTGTTCCGCAGTCTGTCCATTAGGAGTCCCAGTCACTGTCCTCCCCGCCGTACATGTCTGCTAGCTTCCTGAAGCGTGGCCCCCAGTCGCTGAGGTAGTTATAGTCCTGCGCCCCCTCCGAGGACACGGACCCCAGTGAGCTGAGCGACTCGGCCACTGAGCCGTTACCTTCGTACGCGTAGGTGGCCAATGAGTCATAAGGAGGAGCCGTGGGGTTGCCGTCATTTTCCTGCACGCGCTGGTTGATAAAGTCCAGCACGTCTGTGTTCTCTCGGGACGGCACAATGGTCCTACGGAGCGGCGGCGGGGGGTAGAGTGACTCGGAGGGCAGGATGTCCCGACGCATTTTGCTGTCCTCCATTGCTTCCGGATGCCGAAGCGCTCCGATGTCAAAGGCCTGTGTGTCCTCCTCGCCGCCACCCTCATCATTGTAGCTGACGACATTGTCCCTCACGTCCTCCTTGGAGATGATCAGGGGCTCTTTCTTCTTCTGACGTTTCAGGGCAGCAAACAGCACTACAATCACTACAGAACAAGAGAGAAAAAAAGTCAACATTAGTGATGCACCAAAATGAAAAAGATTGACTGCTATTATGTATACTCATAAATGTATCAAAGGTTTGTCAGTTAGATTTTTTAAAAATAAATTCATACTATTATTCAGCAAGGATGCATTAAAATGATCAAAAGCGACAATGATTACTTTTACATTGTTAAAAACAGAGAAAACTACTGTTCTTTCAAACTTTCTATTCATCAAAGAATCCTGTAAAAAATGTTTCACGTTTTCCACAAAAATATTAAGCAGCACAAGTGTTTTCAACATTGATAATAATAAGAAATGTTTCTTGAGCAGAAAATCAGCATATTAGAATGGTATTTATATAAATCGGATCTGGTAGAAATGTGGTCATAAATAAATTAGGCTTAATAATATATTGTGCTTTGTTCACAAAAACTCTATTATGTAGCTATAACCACCAACAGAAAGCAGATGGTAAACAAAATGTCATTAAAAATGTGTACATTGTGTAAATTTCCCTTTGATATTTGCAGCAGATATTCATCAAATGATGTAGAAGAGCATTATAAACAGCCATATTTCCAGATGTGTTGTGTAGTAATGTATGCCTTCGGCATTTTGAAGAGGTGATTCAGATAGCATGTGGTAATTAACCACACTATCAGTGGGAGCAATTCATTTTTCAGTAAATCCCCCCTTAGTACCATTTGGTTGCTTTTATCAGTGATCTTTCACTGCAATGTAGTTTCATACATGATGCATTACCTTGTGGGTGACACCTACTGTAGGTGTCAGGTCGTTAAGATCTACTGCACACAGTTCACAGGTGAGAACTATGAGTAGCTGATGTTAAAGGGAACACGCCGACTTTTTGGGACTTTAGCTTATTCACCGTATCCCCCATTTAGATAAGTCCATACATACCCTTTTCATTTAATGTAACTCTGTCTGACGGTGACGGACCGCTAGCCTAGCTTAGCACAAAGACTGGAAGTAAATGGCTCCAGTTAGCCTACTGCTCCCAATAAGAGACAAAATAACGCCAATGTTTTCCTATGTTGTGATTTGTTTAGTCACAGTGTGTACAAATAACAAGGTCATATGAGACACAGGCATATTTTAACCGTATACATAATGGGAACTATATTCCCAGAAGGCGAAGCACTGCTACTTGGGCGGAGTGATTTGCTCGCAGCACCCGAGAAGCCCCGTGGTGAGGAGCAGAGAGTTCGCTCAGAGTGTTGCGCTAATCACTCCGCCCAAGTAGCAGTGCTTCGTCTTCTGAGAATATAGTTCCCAGTATGTATACGGTTAAAAGATGGCTGTCTCGCCATGTGACCTTGTTATTTGTACACACTGTGACTATACAAATCACAACATATAAATAGGAAAACGTTGGCGTTATTTTGTCACTTATTGGGAGCAGTAGGCTAGCTGGAGCCATTTACTTCCAGTCTTTGTGCTAAGCTAGGCTAGCGGTGGGTGCGTCAGACAGAGTTACGGCACACACGGAGATGAGAAGGGTATGTATGGACTTATCTAACTCTGGTGGATACGGTGAATAAGCTAAAGTCCCAAAAAGTCGGCGTGTTCCTTTAACAGATAGCAAAACTCTATTAAGCAAGCTTTTCTATAGCAATTCAAATGATAAATGGATCAATTACACATGCATGTTTAGTTATATGACAAGTGTTTCAATTAAAATTAAGCCTAGAACTCAAATGTGATATTCCATTTTTTGTTGAATTAAAACAAGACTGGATTCATTTTCATTTAATTGAAATGTAGCCCTTGTTATTCAGTTTCCTGATTAAATAACCAACAAGTTTTATCAGTTCAGCCATCTGAGCATGTCAGAAACGGTTTCCTTTATTTTCTTTTTTCCCCTAATTGCAAATTATTTTACATGCAGATCAGGCGTACACACTTCAAACCACTGGAATTGTAATTAATCAAATGGCAGCGCAGACAAAAGTGCAAACTGACAGGAAGACAGGTGGGGAAATGAACTGAAAAGTCTCAGTAACAAAGGGCTTGAAAGATGAACAGTCAGATGGATTCACAGATGAAGGAAGCGGGCATCAGACAGATGGACATATGAGAAGTGATCTGATTGTCAAAGGAGAAAACTGAAGGCTACTTACAGAGCAGGATGAGGATGCAGAGCAGGATGGCCACCAGCGCCCCTGTGCTGAGCCCCGCAGAGCTGGTCAGAGCCTCTGCATTGCACATCTCCATGTTGCCATCTCGGTCACACGTGCACACCCGAACTGTGAGCGTGCCCGTGCTGCTCTGCATGGGAAAGGTTCCGTCTGAGATCACCACCGCCACTAGATGGGTGCTCTTGTGCATTCGGCCAAATCCGGCGCGTCGTGTAAAGATTCCAGCTGTGTTATCTGTGGAGAGTTGAGCGCTTAGTTGATTAACCCTTAAACGCATACCTCTAGTCTTTTTCGACCCGGGACGTCATTCACTACCCTCCCCCTCATTCATTTTTTTAATTTAGACATCCACCTTCTTAGTATTCCTCAATCGATTCATTATAAACAAATGTAACAATAATTTTTTTTTTTTTAATATATAAAAGAATAACTGTTTTCTAATTCATTTTTGTAAAAACTGTACAGGGTCGCTAGGGGCCCGAGGTATGTAATAGTGTAAGTATATTTTTTCTGTGTATCAATTGAATTTCTGATGACCCAATAAGTGCAATTCACCTTTTTTCCCCAAGGTGGCAATGTCTGATACACAGTGATGACGTGATGTTTCACTCATAATTACCGCAGACATAAAGAATACACAAATATAATCAGTAAAACTTTAAATGGCTTATTAATTTATTTCAAAGCAAGTTCTGTACGCAGTCAATTAGATGTCACTGTCACTTGAAGGTGGATCTGGTGGGGAAGCTGTCAGTTTTGAAGAAGTTGAAAATGATAGTTTTGAGAATATGGTTGAGATCGCAAATATGAGCCAGAAGCTGAATGTACTGGGGAAATGAGCTTTGACAATGACAGTGATGACAGTAAAAAGCATCTGCTCAAATCGAACCCTTCCAAGTTAAAAGGTAACGAAACATGCTTTAATTTACTTTTTTTGTAATTGTTTATCAGGAGAGTTTTATACTATTGCGGCAGTTAAAGATCGCAAGACACAAATATGTATTAATGATTGGCGAAACATTTATGCATTTAAGTGCCCCTATTATGCTTTTTCAGATATTACCTTCTTATGCAGGGTGTAATAATGTAGCTGTTTGTGAAAGTAAAAGGTCTGCAAAATTTTAAAGATCAAAGTGCGCGATAAATAAAGAACAAAAAAAAAACCCAGAATAAATTCTGAACTGCTCAAACGAGTCTTACTTCTGTAATATACATATGTAACAATGTAACACATTTGCATAATGCCCACCTAAGTTCTTCATTGGCTGCACGCGAACAACGTCTACTTTGACCCGCCCTCAAAAATTGTAGTTGGTTTGCGTGTGTACATGTCGAGAAAATGCTGTTTTCTGTGCTGCAAAAGCAAATTCTCTTTGTAAACACTTCCAAAGGATAAGGATGTGAAGAGTCAGTGGTTAAAATTACCACAGTGATACAACAGCAGTAAAACCTTTTGACGATTGCTTCTCAAATCTCTGTGAGGTCTAAATGGGATTTACAAAACGCTTATCCATTAAAGATGGGACAGTACCCACTTTATTTGGACCAACTTGCTCCTCAGAATCACAGCCGTAAGTATGAGTAATTATTGATGTATATATTTTCTCCTGGGTGTTTAAAATACGTTGTTTTGTGTTTTATATTGTGTAGGTCTCCAGCTAACTGGCTAACTCACGTTATTACTGACTAACTGAAATAGTTCTGCTGTGGGCCATTATTACCTAAAACTATTACCGATTGTCTGTTGGTCTCACTACTTTGAGTAATGATAAAGGATGGAGCAAGATCTTTTTTACAAACTTTAGTGCTCAGCTAAAGTATGCACCGTGTGCACCACATTAAATATACACATCGGTTTGTTGATGGACATACACTTGTTAATGCTGATGCTGATGGTGAGGAATTACATTTGCAACATCTCATACTGTACATCAAAATTGAGTAGCTTATCACTGAGAAACGTCTTGTGATGGAGGTTCGGGTTGAATAACTATTTCTTCCAGTGTTTCATAATTGGACTTGCGCTCGGATTGATATGGGAAAATTGACGGAAGCCTTCGGAGCTGAAATTCAGTTATAATAATGGGCTTTTTGTTTATGACACATGCTGTGAGCAGTAGACCGATCACAACAGACTGGGCCATCTGGCCAATCAGAGCAGAGTAGGCTCTCGGGAAAGGAGGGTTTAGAGAGACTGAATCTTAGAACGAGTCGTTTGAGAATCTTTGAAAAATGTGGTGATATGCAATGTATATTATGAGAAAATGAAAATGTTTTTTGACCTTTCATGCATGTAAACCTGATGTAGGAGACCTCTAAAACTAAATTAGGAACCTTTAAAATACCATAAAGGTACTTTAAGTAATGAGGCAACTGTCCTCTCTGCAGACCACAACAGGCCTAGAAAGACCTAAAGTTATGGCTACTGCAAAACAACATGGCTCAGCTTTAAACAGCTAGATGTGAAAAGGCCATGTGTCCTAAAGATTTCTCCTGTTTGATTGGTCTGTGTTGTCATGAAGAGAGACAGTGAGCTAGTTAGAGGGCCAGACGATGTGAGAGGGCACCCACCTCCATTATCTCGGACTGAGAAGTTTGCTCGCACTGAGCTCTCTGGTGCCAAGGAGAACAAGAAGCGATGTCCACCGACCGGGTCATCTAGATCCACCGCACTTATTGTCTGGATTTTCTGTGAGAAAGAAGCAAATGATGCAAATCACATATACAAAATGCATAGGACATACGTTACAAACTGTGTTTGGTTCGTTTTTTAGAAAGTCCACATCATAAATGTATTTTATCAATTATATTTGAAATTAAAATCATATTAGTTTCTATCATCACTGTTATCTATTTAACAAATTTGGTTTAAGAAGATGTTGCCATTTTTGTCAACTGCTAATATCAAAACCTGGCATTTTCTAAAGAAGTATTTGTGTTTTTTCTTCATTTTTCATTTCAGTTAATCTTTTCTCACACTCAAATAATGATATGCATGGATCAAACAAAAAAGGTCTTTTTTTTATTTGATCTTTTTCAAATGCATCAAACAAAAATAAACAAATACAATTAATAAATTACATGAGCAGTTTAGTTACATGATTATGTTTTTATTAAATGTAGCAAAATAATTAATATCTTTTTAATTAAAATCTTTTTTCTTCTTTTCTTTTTTTCAAACAAAACATGCATTCTTTAATATATATATATATACACACACACACACACACACACACACACACACACACAAAGAGAGAGAGAGTATGCAATATTAAAACAAGTTTATCCTGTTAGTTTTATTGTAGTATGAATTTAGATAACGTTAGCAATGGCTAACTTCTGCTATCCTCTTCTGCTATCCTGTTAAGCCTCATGTTAATTATCTTGACATTATGTAAATTGTGTGAAGTTATAATTAATAAAATGTAGTTGCATGAGCTTGACAGGCACATATTCTTGTAAGTAACTACTTAAAACAACAAAACAGATTCATTCATTTTTTTTTATTTAAGTTACAGAGCTGGAAAGGTACTGCATAACCGGAATGACCTATTCACAATGTCATTTTTCAGACCTTACAAGTGTTTACATGTAAACACTATAAGCATGTTTACAGCAAGAAAAGATGTTGGCTCAGTGATAGAGGCGCATGGTTATCTTTAGTTGTCACCAAGGGCAATTTTAGTTTAAATGCATCTCTCAAGGGTGCACTGGCAACATGCTGTGACAAAAATGTAATCATCCATTGTGTGCCTCATGATTTTTTTTCTCTACCAGGCTTACACACTGGCCAGATTTCTTGCTTGCGTGTTGCTGGCTGGCTTCCCTTTCCTCTGGGCTTTACTTCAGTCTGTTAGAATATAACTGCTGAATAGAATCAAAATCCCAGCCTTATCTCACACTGCCGTCACTGAAATATAGCTAATAATTAATGATTGTTTGGTTTCATCATGCAAGTAACAGAATTTCCACAGTCACCTTTACCTAAAGTCTCTTTTACCTAAATGAAATTAAATGGAATTATTACAATTATTATAACATTTGTATAGATGTAGTTGATAGCATGTGCCTTTTTTCTTAAAGAATTGTGTGTAAAATAAATAATAGTTAAATTGTTCTTGTTTTGAATATAAACCTCTATAGTCTATAGTATTTTATGTAATTTTGCTTCTCAAGTAAATGAGAAAGATGTCTTGATATTTTTACTGGAAAAAGACCAAAATACTTTTGTATTATGCATGTATGTTGTTTACATAGTCTTGGTTCTTTTTGTACTCAACAACTAAACCATGGCAAACACCAGGTTGAACAATTCTGCCAGGCGCTGAGGTGGGCGGGTCAGTGAGGTGGGTGATGACGGACAACGAGGGATACAAGAAGAGTCAGGAAATGGAGGAGAGGTGGACAGTTATTATGAAGTGCCTGTGATATGTGACAGCCCCTGTCATCCACCATGACACATAATCTCATCAAGCCTGACAGAAAAAGGCTCTGCCGTCTAATCCATGAAGGAGAAATACTCATCACTGATCTCTATCTCGCTCTGGAGGTGTGAGTTCTGTAGAGGTCACACACTGTTTAACAGACGCCCCTGCTTTAAATCAACACATCCATCCACCGGCCGAACAGGAGAAGTGGACTTATTCCTCCTTATCTTACATCGAAATTGACAATGTGGCAGATAAATGGGAAACGTATACTAAAATGCTCTTTACCTGTCCGACTTTGGCGTTTTCACAGACGAAGGTCTCGTAGAAGGATGCCAGCATAGGGGGGTTATCGTTGACATCCAGTATGCGGATGTACACAGGCACTCGGCTGGTCTGCTCTGGGTTGTCTAAGTGTCCTTAAAAAGATGTGGCAGATGATGGTTGACTACTTGAGATGATAGAAGCTCACATTATTGGAGCCACGGGAGGAAACTGGATTTCTAATTTAAAAAAGTAAACTAATATATTTAGTCAATATAAGCTGTCATGGTAAATGAAAATGCGGAAATCTTACTGGAGAAATTTAATGCTGGATGACTTGAGCTTAGCAACCTAAATTCATTCCAAATGAACTGCGGCTGCGAGCCGCGTGGAGTTACTTACTGAACTCGGTTGCGATCACTGAAATGTTGTGCCAAGCAAATTCCTCTCGGTCCAGAGGCCTCTGCAGGAATATAGAACCATTCCCAGCATAGACACCAAAAACCCGGTCCACATCTGTGTGTCGATCAATTGAATACCTGCAAGTCAAACCATTGAGCTCAATTGTCACCAGTTTCAATGTGTTTGCGACAGTGTTCTTTTCAAAATAGTGTAGAGTAGTTAAACTATGATGTGACCTGTGACAAATCGGTTTGGCTCAATTATGCTCAGAGAAAATGGAGTGTGAAAATCATTAAAAATTCAGGGAAAAATGCAAGACTGTTTTGTCAGTGTTGTCATAATCATTGTTTTGTAGGGAGGAATAATCAGATCCCCACTCCTCCCATACTTGTCCCTTTCATTCTCATATGTAGCATTGGAAAGTCTAATTCATTCTAGTGAGTATCAGTAATTGAAACTATTTGATTTAAGTCCCTGTGCAATAATCCTTGGTGGCATTCTAGGTCTTCTTTATTTTATTTCAACAAAAATATTTAGTTAAATATAACTAAATATAGATTTTTTTAGATGTAGTTAAAGTTTAAGTAAAAATATTTCCACTGTCATAGAAAACCTGGAAATGCCAAGGAATTTTTAAATGGTGTTTTCCAGGCCTGGAAAGTCATCAAAAATCATTACAAAAGTATTCAAAATAAAAAGTCATAGAAATCTCTATAGTGACAGTAAAACTTAATTGAAGTTTGTTGAAAGAAAAAAAACTCATTGTTTTGTGCCAGAAAAATAGAAACGATAAAGGATATCATCGGATAGTTACTGTATACATTTCAAAAGATATTGCACCATCCTGTAGTGAGCTCTTTTTGTTAGTATCTTGTAAAGTACCGGTAAACTACTTTTTCAAAAGGGTGCATTTACTAGTCTGACTACTTTAAATTCTAATTTAGCCTGTAACTTGGCCAAACAGCTTCCCCAACACTGGTTTACAAAACCATTAAGCCAACTGAACCTTTAGAGCAGGAGACACGTGAGGATGCTTGATGCACACCACAGCTATAACGGCATGAAATCCCAGTGCCCTGGGCCCACACATGCCCAGTTCCCATTTGTTCTTCTTTCACAAGAAGATCACAATATTGCCCTTTCAAATGTAATCAGTCAGTGGGATTGTTCAATTTCCTAATTAGCCTCCTGATGTTCAGAGCGACAGTGTTGCCCGTGCTTCTGATGTCCCTGATAATTACCAGCCCTGAAGTCCTGTTCTCTGCTGCAGAGGGCTTTTTAATTGCGCTTCCATTCTGCGTTCTTATTTACTGTGTTCTCCGGAGGGAAAAACATCCATTTATTGTCCTCCTGAGCCTTCCGCATCAGATTTATCATTATGGTGCTTTGGACAGTGATAATATCCTCATTTATTCTCATAATTGTAGTTTATTACAATTATCTCATAAAGATGCTGCGACTGAAGGACCTCTTGAATTAAATGTGAATTTAATAAACACGCTCCGAGGAAGCAGTCCATCTAAGTTCATATTGCCATAGCTTAAGACAGATTATTCAGGGTTTTGCAGATATCAAAAGGTCACGGGAAGAAACAGGCAGGGTTTTAAGTGGTTTGCAAGCTACTGCCAGGCTATTGTGTGTTGGGCAATGTGCATTTAAAGAGATTTACGGTGATCTTGTAAATCTAGATGATGAAAACAATGTGATGGGATGATATTAATGCAAAGCCCTTACTTGACCGGACTGCGGCGTATGTCAGGATCCATGGCACTGACCGATCCTATCACTGTGCCCACAGCCGCGTCCTCTTTCACCTCCAAAATATAGCTGATTTTCTGAAATTGTGGGGGCTCATCCACATCCTCAATGCTGATCCTGACAGTTGCTATGTCCTTAGCGTCCAGGCTCAGAAATCGTGGGTCTGGATGCGTGTTTTGGACCTTGATCTGAAGCAAGTATGATTTCTTCTTCTCGTAGTCCAGAGGCTGCAACGGAAACACATTCACAGGAATAAACAACCCCACTCTGAGTCGAATTTTCAGCCCCCCTCCCCATTTTATTCACAAACCATCAATTGTAACTATTTTAATTTTAAAAAACACGTTTCTTAAACTTGAAAATTCTGTTTTCAAACTCAAAGCATGAAAGAAAGTTTCTTTGTACCTTCTTTACGCTAAGTATGCCTTCTTGGGTGTTCCTGTCAGTGCTGATGTCGAACACATCCAGACCGTCTCCGCCAACAACGGTGTAGTCCATCTCTGCATTTCTGCCGACGTCGGCATCCACAGCCTCGATCCTGCCAACTGATGATCCTACGTTGGTGAGCTCTGGAACGCTGAACTGATATATACCTGGGGAACATAATGTTAACGTCAGGGTTTAAGCTTGAATCTGTGAATTCTCTTGACTATATACTGCAACAAAAGACCATTTAGAAGAGTTTGGAGGAACAAATCTCATTTGACAATTTGCATTTGTAAAACTACATATCCGATCCCTGTTTCTAACACTGTAGCCAATTAAAGTGCTTTTTAAAGCCTTTTCACCTACTCTTTACTGTAAAAAATGGTGAACGTGACTGATATTGTGCTGCCTGCAATAAATCCGCTTTGTGCTGATAGCCTGCATTCCTCTAATTAACATGACAGAAATTCCAAGAATTTTCTATTTGCATGCGGGCTAAAAGAATAGATAATTTTAAGAGAAACACAAAAGAGTAAGTGAGCTGAGCCCACTCTGTCCATTTAATCAGGATTAACACACAGACCTCACGCAGTTGCTAAAGCTTTGCCACTAACCATTTTCCTTCCCACAATGACAAAAAATATATGCAAATAAAAAGAATCATTGGAATTATGGAACAAATTTGGTCAATTTGTTGATATTTACGAATTTACATATATATTTTCTATCTATTAAATGCATGCTTACTCTGTGTGAAATGAGGGGGGTTGTCGTTGACATCGGTGAGGCTGATGTTTACTGTGGTGCTGCCTGTTAAGCCCCCTTTCTGGCCGGCCATGTCCTTGGCTTCGATCACCACCTGGTAGTGCTCCCTCTGCTCTCTGTCCATATCGGAAGGTCCCAAAGCTGTCCGGATTATACCTGAGGGAAAGATGACTTAATTCGTTAACATCCAATCCAGCCCAGTTCCTTACTCTAGGAGATGGACGACACCAGACCGCAGTTGCAGCTGAGTCTTTGTTGTGTTTGAACAGTGCAGAACTAATTGCGTACATGCACTGAGACTGACATTTTGCCGCAGAGATTATTACAGGCAGCAGCTGCTGATTGAGAGATCGCTGCAGGTTCTGAAGAAACAAGACCTTGGATTATTAAAACCGGTGTTTTACAAGCTAAACCAATTTGGTGACAAGCAATTTCAGAGTAAGCAATGTTGGATTTGCTTGACAGTGTTGGACCAGTAATTTTTTTGTAATAATTATTTTATATTCACAGCAAGAATTCTAAAATAATACAAGACATAATGTACAAGTAGGCAAAAGTAAACATTTGAAATAAATAAACACATTTTTTAAACAGCAAGTAATCATAATTCCGTGTTAATCAGGCATAAAAATGCATTATTATAATATTATATATATATATTGTAAAAATATAAAAATTATTATTCTTCATAATATTTAATCAATGTAACAACTTTTCCTCTGATGTCAGTTAGGAAATGCAAGCTACTAGATAATGTTAACCAATAGCCAAATTAGCAAACTTACTTTCTGATATGTAACACCCACTTTTCATGACCCAATTAATTTTGTGTTGGATAAAATCAAGTCCCACCCTACATTCTTTCTTATTGAACATCCTGTTACATCACATTACAGAAGTAAAATGCCTTGCAAACAGTGATTCACGTTGACTTTGAACATAAGTATGCCTGATGTCCCTAGTTAGATCCAAAAAAGGCAAACGACAAATCCAGTAATTCACGTAAAGAAGAATCCAAGCCCTGCTGCTTCTTTGAATGGCACAAATGTTCTCAGATTAACCCCCACCTCTAATGAATATCCCTTTTTTTCAGTCTTAGGATTTCATGTGCTCATGGACATCATAGTTCGTGTCCCATCTGGGCTAAAGCATATCAGTGTTAAGCTGGACACTAATCTGCCATGGGAGCTTTTGTGTTTCTATTTCTCTTTTGTTTAAACAAAGACCTCTGCGGGAAATGTTCCAGGGCACACATTAGCAATGATTAAACTCGCCGGGCGAATTTGCCCGGCTAAATTGCTTGAACGACAGAGCTGCAGTGCAACCCTTGCCCCATTTCAAATCATACAGATACACATTCTCTCTTTCTATTTCGCCATTTCTGTCTATGATATAACAGTTCAACATGGACTGACCTGTGTTTGGCTCTACTGAGAAGTACGGATGACCCTGGCTGATGCTGTAGGCTAGCTTTGCACTGTAGCCAAACATTTCATCGTCTGCATCCTGGGCGGTAACTTGAGTGACATAGGTGCCTGAAAAACAAGAAATTAGTTCAAGAAAGAGTTCACCTATAGTCATTATGATGTTTGTTATGACTTTTGTTCTTCAGTGGAAAGCAAAAAGGAGGAAATAGGAAGAATGTGCATGTCACTCTTGTCTATGACTAAGGAATTGAATTTCTGAATGATTCATTCACGAATCGGACTGTTTTGGTTCTCAAGTTCAACTTACTGATTCAGTGATCTAGTTTCAGCAGTTAATAGTTCTCCAGGGGAAGATTATCAGTGAATAAAGACTAAAATGACTAAATTTGGATCCTTTTTAAAGCTTGAAAGCTCTAGTCACCATTTATTAAACTGCATGGAAAATAGTGACCTGCACATTCTTCAAAATATCTCCTTAAGTGTTCACAGAAGAAATAAACTGGTTTGGAACCAGAAGTGGGAGAGTAAATAATAAGACCCGATTATTCCTTAAAGTGAAGATATATAATAAAATATGACAAGTTACAATATTGTTTTATATTACTATACTAAGCAATAGATTGTTTTGTAATATTTCTACAATATTGATATACTTCATATGCACCTACAAGACTTTCAGTGGTTGTTTTTGAAGCTGCCGAATCTTACCAATGTGTGACCTCTCAGGTACGAACGCTGTATAAACCTCCTTGTCAAACTTGGGCTCATTGTCATTGATGTCGTGTAGTTTCACAATAAACTCAGTCTCTGGCTCCAGTGGGACACCGGTCTTCTTGTTGACAGCCTGAGCTCGGAGCGAGTAGAGAGGTTTCTCCTCTCTGTCCAGGCTCCTGGTAGCATGCAGATCTCCTGAGTTGGCATCTATCACAAAGATCGTCCCCGCACCTTCACCTGAGAGAACGTACATCACTGTGCCGTCTCCTTTATCCATATCTGAGTGAAGCTGTTGAGAGGAAGCAATTCAAGCATTTCATCAGCACCTCGGCTCATTCTGCCGTTGATATGGCTCATGAATATGTATTGCATTCGATATCCTGAATGTATTCAATGTCCGTTGATTTTGAAGGAATAAAACAATAACGAAATACTACAGGGGGAATGTAGCAATAGACATGTACTCTATGGCAAATATGTGAAAATGAATCCTTGTGGAATTGAATTCTGATGGCATATCAGATGAAAGTACAACACCCTGAATGTGCAATCAAGGTGAATGCCGGTCTATTATGAACAGTGAAGCTGCCGGATGGTATCTTTTGGTGCAACCACTTTTGTCAGATATTTATGAGGTAATCAAACTTTTTTACTTCTCGTCTCTATATGATGAGTTGTTTAAAGCAGTTTTGAATTTGTGTTATTCACTATTGTTACACAAAATGATTAAATTGAGTGATAGGAACATCACATTTTAGAGCTGCAGGTGTGATGTGATTAGCTTTGACAACTACATCTGATAGAGGATTGAGAGAATGATTTGACACTTCTTTCCACTTGAATAAGCCGCTTTGTTACAGTAAAATAGGGTAGTAAAATACAAAAGACCATTCAAACACAATGGCTCTACATGATTTTCCCTCTGAACATTATAGAAATGGCTGCTTCTACTCCACACTGACTGCTACATGATCCAGGCACATAATGTCCATAACAACAATGAGAGCTTTGTGAATTCTGCGCTTGCAACATCCCACATGAATAATCCACTGGTTCGTGATCCTTTGCAAGGCTTTCGAGTCTCTGAACCAGTGGTTCTCAGACTTTTCACGCCAAGTACCACCTGATCAAATTAGAACATACAAGAACCACAGAGTTAATTCACCTCTCTGCAGTGCAAGTTTAAGTTCATATTTTGATTCCACTATTCCTGTAAAGACAACTATCAGTTCCTTGACTGGCCTCATGCAGAACAGCCTCTACAAACACACCGCACAACATAACATGTTATTGCGCTTGTTAATACGCATATTTTACAATCAAATTCAAACTATAATAAATATTCAATATTGTATAGCATACACTACTGTTTAGAGGTTTGGTAAGATTTTTAAATGTTTTGAAAGAAGTCTCATAAGTCATGAGTTCACCAAAACTGCATTTATTTAATCAAAAATACAGTAAAAACAGTAATAGTGAAATATTATTACAATTTTAAATAACGGAATTTTCAGCAGTCATTACTTTAGTCTTCATTTCCACAAGATACTTCAGAAATCCCATTGCGTATTTTTATCAATGTTGATAAAAGCTTTATATTTTTGTGGAAACATGATACCATTTTTTCAGGAGTAGAAAAAACTGCATTACTTTGAAATATACATCCTTTGTAAAATGTCTCTACTGTCACTTTTGATTAATTTAATAAGTAGGCTACTTGCTGAGCAAAGGAATTATATAAAAATCTTACTAACCCCAAACCTTTGAATGATAGTGTATATTTAGGGATGCACAATATATCGGTACTACTGTATGGTTTCTTTTGGCAATTATTTTATGTAATTGTACATGTTAATATCCCCTATTTTTATATTGAGATTACATTTACATCATCTGATCTTTAATAAATCGAATAATTGAATAACACTGTTAAATGTAATCTTATTATACATTTTTCATATTGTACATTATAAAGCGTAAAATTGATTTTAGCAGTTTTCAGCCATAAAAAGAAAACCTGCGATCCACTTATTACTATCTTCAGATTTTTAACACTGGTGTGATATTTCGTATAAATTTGAAACACTGCCACAATAATATGATGTGTCTTGTGCCCACATGTTCTATTTGCAATTAAATTATTTTTTAAAGGAACTTTTTAATGGATTAACAGGTTAATATAACAACCTTATTTAGTGTAAATCCTGAGGTGTGTCGCCTACCACCTGAGGGCCACAGTTTGAGACCTTCTGCAGTAAGAAACAGTAGCAAGCTGTTATACTTTATTTTAATCTTTGATCCTCTACAGCTCCGAGCTTCAGATGAAGTGTGAGGTACCAGGGAGGTCAGATTTCACCCAGCTCCTTATCTCAAATCCAGCTGGCTCTATGCTGGAGATCCCTACATATGACTTGGCCACAGTTTTGATCATTCTCTGTTTAATAACCTCAGAAGACAGAATTAGAAGGAGTGATGAAACCAAATCTATCTCTGCAATCGACTCTATCAACATTACTCGAGCATTGCTCAGACCACATTTATGCTCTGAAATAGAAACATGATCTCTTACCTTGCCAATATATTGGTGTTCTGTTCCTGTGTATTCCTCTTGCAGAAAAAACTGTCTCCACATCCATCCTCTCTTTGAACGTCTGAGCAACTCTTTGTCTTGCTGTCCTTCAATTTCTTTGGTTTTCCTTCGAACCGGCCCTCTTGAAAGGGCAACTGCATTCACAGTTTTGTGTGCACATGCCCACAGAAGAAGTACAATCCAAGTCCTCATCTTCCCCGCTCTTAGGGTGTCTTACAGGGGGATAATGATCCTATCTGCCAAAGTTACAGAGCTCTGCAGTGCAGGTGGCAGCCACCCTCATAGTCCTTCCTGCTGCCAGCGAGCCACACAGTACCTGTAATAAGAGATAGAAAGAAATTGAAAAACAATCAGTTATTGGGCAAAGTCTCAGAGTGTTATTCTAAGGCTGCTGGGAATGCTTCCCTTCCTAATTAAAGGCAACTTCAGCTCCTTTATCATACGACAGCCACCCCCTTATTAAAGATATCTTTGAAACATTCTCCATAAGATACCAATTCCACAGCAAGTCTTGTGGCCGAGGCTCTGATATCTATATAATTGGCGTCCCACATTCACAAAGTATAAAAGCAGAGGCCATTCGAAGTGCTGCAGCCATCATGATAAAAGTCAGAAAGGGTTTTTTCCCCACCTAGCCATTAACCCCCGACTTTTAAAATACTGCAAAGCAGGCCAATGGGCGAGATCTCACAAATCTGTAATCAATGAATCAATACGCATGCTCTCTAAATGCCCTGCTTTAAAGATCTAACCACTCACACTCTCACAGCGCTATTAATTCAGAGTTTCTTTGAAACAACAACAACAACAACAACCAATTGTTGTTGTTGGTTGGGTTTTATCAGCATGCATGGTCACAATAGCCTGCTGGCTCTGAACTGACCTGCTGGAATGACAGTCTGATAGACAAAAGCTTCCTGCCACCACATAATAATCAGCAATCAGCACGTTTCCTGTTTCCACATCAATCTGAGGCTTTGTCTGCGACTGAACGCCTGCCCTCGCTCCCTCTCGCACTTTATCAAGCAGATTGCAAATGTGATTGCGCAAAGTGGTGAAGGGGAGACGTGGGCCTCTCAATGAATCGCATTTAAGTACCTCTGCTTTTTTTGATTTACAATATTGCTTGCGACATTGGCGCACCTCTCTCCGTCAGTGTAAAAATGCATCAGGTCAACATCACCCTTCATCCGGGAAGAGCGACGGTTGAGGGCCAGCGATTCAGATGGAAATGCACAATTGCGATGCCGAATTGACTTTCATAGTTCCGTGTATGACTTAAATGGTGCAGCTATTCCCCTAATAGCATTTTCCATTAGCTCCATTATGTTCTGCTTTATGAATTGGCCTAATTGAATTAGGTAACAATAGATAGCAAAGGATATTGATTTACTGTCAAAGTCAATGAGCTAGAAATTATTATGGGGGCTCTACGTATGTATAAACATACTGTATGTGTGTGCATGATTCTATGTGTGCATTTCAGTACAAACAGGGAAGCAAAATGGGAGATGCGGGCCCTGTTATGTCCAACAATTGTAGTTTACGGATGCTGCTCTTTAATGAATTTCAGCCACCCAAAACTCCTGGGCAAAGAGAACGGGCTCCTGGAGCACATTAGTCAAACCCAGGCAGCCATTTTGCTCAGCTCTGTGACCTGGCAAATCCCTTGACACAGTCCTACCGGGGGAACTCAGCTGGATCTAAAGCGGTTTTGTTACATGGTGTGTCAGACTGAACAGACACAGTTTCCAGCACAAAATGTCTGCTCGTTCATTTACAAATCCATCCTGCTGGGAGGGAGATGGATAGTGAAGGATAAAAATTCCCCTGCTGTCTTTAAATATAAGCACAAACCTAAGACAACTCAATGGGACACTATGGTTTCACATAGTGTCTCACATCGCACTTCATTTACAGCCTCACCAATGTGTCATTTGATACATGCTGATCCACATCACTACAGAGTCTTTATATCAGTCTTATAATGTGGAAGTCATGATTGAGTACCTAAAAAGAATAATACACACACACACACAAAAAATCTGTCATCTACAGTATTTACCCTAATGTTGTTCCAAACCAAGGTCATTATTGTAAACTAAAAAAAGAAGACAAAAACTATTTTAACTAAAAATTGTTAACTGAAAAAAAAAAAAAATTACATTACTGGGAAAACTTAATTAAATATATTCATCAAATATATTAAATATTTTCATGACTCTAAACCGAACTAAAATAAAATTGATAACGTCTAAATAATATAATATAAATAATATTTTCTTTTATTTTTTTAGCGGCATATCCTTTAACTCACCATTGCCATTATGTAAAAGTGTCACTAGAGGGTGATAATATCATCCTGTATGCAATTTTTATTTATTTAAATGTAATAAGACCTTTGCTTAATTTGTTTGCATTGGAGCGACTTCCAATTTCCAATTTAAAATGAAAAAGGGGTAAACATGTTAGTGTTTTATGTTTTTTATGGATTTAGAAAACTTTATGTTGGTTGCCCCTGGTTATGTTATTATTATTATTATTATTATTACATGACTATCAAAGCCCAAATAAACTGGTAATATTATTTTGGTAAACTAACCATTAACTTAAAGCTGTAGTGTGTAATTTTTGTGTGACTAGCATCACTAAATCGAACTGCAAAAATAATAACAGTTTATCCAAACACTCCCCCTGTCAGCAATTGGTCGCTAACCAAATAGTCCCGCCCCAAACTCACGCCATTGGTTAAGCCAATGTTGCAGTGTCAAACTGGTGTGGAATCTCAAACGATTCAACTTCACACTTTTCTGAGAAATCAGCCCACATGGAATAAATTACACACATCACCTTTAAACTGACTCCGTTACACTAGCATGTTTACATTTTTCATGTTTCAATTAATGCAATGATAAAGTAATTAACTCTCGGGGTGCCTGCCATAAACTGCGCCACGGTTGTCTGCTATCCAAAACACAGACAAAACAAATTAACCTCAATGGCACCTCACTCGCGTCTGCCTGAACGTTATCTGCTTTTGTTTTCAGATCAGGCAATTTACCATGCAGTCTGACCTTGAGACCTTACATGTCCTATTTTTATTCTATTTTTTTTATTTTTCTTTCAAAGACACAGTACCCTCAGAGGCCCTTTGGGAACGCGAGCAAAGTGGGGGCTGACAGGTGAGGGAGGAAGACCGGCGACACCTGTGGAGGACGCGGGGAGTCGGTCAGGCGGCAGGAAGTGCCAGAGAGAAAGAGAGAGAGAGGTGGGGCCCGAGCGCGGCCCTCGCTGAAAGCTCTGCCACGCTGCAGACAGCCACAGCAGCCCTGATAAGTCCCACAGGGGCAATTAGGAGTGAGAGAAGGAGAATGTCAGCCACGGGCAGCGAGAAGGGAGGCGACAGGTAACAATTCTTGCTGCAGGAACACAGACCAGCAGAGCAGAGAGAAACAGAGCTAGCTAATGCCACACACTGTCTCCAGGCTCTCTATTAAAATGAATAAGTCAACGGACCACCAGCCATTAACTAGAAAGACTAGACCCCACGTTTTTTAAATAGGTCATTCTTGTTTGCAAAGCCAAGGTACATGATATAGCGGTACATGATATAGCGTCTCATGATAGCGATAGCATAAATGTTTGATTTCTCTGAGCTGTGCAAATCTGTAATTTTTTATTTATTTATTTTTTGGCCTCTGCAAAGAAATTCTCACGTAGCTTCTGGCTACATCACATCTTAGTGAAAACACTAAGAGAAAACTCTCCAGCTAGTACTCATATCTCTCGAGCAAATGGTAGGAGACATGTGCCATGTTTGATTGCGGTTCTCTTCCTACCACTGAGCAACAGTGCATGAGAGGCAAAGTCGAGATCAGGTGAACACAAATTCAGTCAGGGTGGCACACTTAAACAGATTCGAGCTCCTCTTCGGTCCGCTCGGTGCACTTGCCTGCCAAGCAGCGTATCCGTGTCATTCCCCAGGGCATAGCGGGTAATCAATATATATTGATTTGTCTGTTTGGGGGGGGGGGGGGGGGGAAGGGCTGTCTAGACAGCTGGGTTTTCGAATGCTAAGGTATCACTTATCCTGCAACACTCTAGCTCGGCTGTAAGCGATGATTGATTTATTCATTTTAGACATACGTTTTTTTCCCATATCTGACCTACCCTACATTTGCCAGGGCTATTTATACACATCACTTGAGGTTTAAATGCAATAACACATTTACCTGATGGCAAAAAGGCTAAGATGTGAAATAAATCAGTGATAGTAAGCAGATAAATATATCTGTTTTTGCAGCTACAACCTAAGGGACTGGAGTATCATATAACAACACACAATCAACTGATATACTGTTTTTTTGATCGATACTGATGGATTTTTTAATGTTAACAATTAAGTATCCAATGACTGATATTCCAAACTAAATTTGAAATAGCCTATTGTATTTCTGCTATTTGACGCAAATTAACTAAAACTACAACATATGCATTCTAATTTTTATTACAATTATTATCATGATACAAATATAATTCAGACTATTTTGCCGTTAATTATAACAATAATATTAAATAAATTATTATTTTCACTTTTTTATTTTCAGTTTAATTTCCAATAATAATTATTGTTATTATAATAAAAATATAAAGCACATTATTTTGCTATAATACAAAAATAATAATGATAATAATAATTGTTATTATTATAATGAAAAAAACTGAAATGTCATATATTTGCTGTAATATTACTACTACTAATAATAATAATAATTATTATTATTATTATTAATCATCCAAATAATACATAAAATTACATTACCTATTGTTGGGTACTATTCTTTGGAGACTTGCCAAAGAAACCCAAAGCTAAAGTCCCCCTGTAGTCAATAATTGTATCCCTTAAAACTATTTGATCACCAAAATTAAATTTTTAAAAGTTTTTTCCTCGAAATAAAAAACAACTTCATACTTAAAAATAGCTTGAATGTAACTCTACACCCTTGCCTCATTTAGTATACGCAGTTCTATGAATATGCAAATTAGCCCCGCCTCCACTCCACTCACACCAGCTCAGAGATCCACTCGTTGACGATCACACGTTAACGTAATTGGTTACAAGTTTGTGACGTCAGAAACACCAGTGATTTCAGACCGTGCTTCTGAGACTGTCTTTAGATCACTGCAGTTTTAAAGAGAAAACAATCAACAATGGTGTTGTTGACTTATGAATTTGCACATGGTTTGTCTTAAAGCATATTAAAAACACCACATAGACATATAAACAACATTAAAAGCTTGATTTTCACCACCGGG